GATGAAAGCGTTATTTAAAGTGTCTACCAACTAAACAAGTTAACAAAAACTACTTTTGAAGCATAATCATAAATTCCTTTAACTCTGTTAGAGGTATTTGTTACTGTTATATTTTGAGTTTATAGCTAATATTAATATTTATTTAATTATAAAATTTGATGAAATAGTACAATGTTGTAGAGTATTTTATGTAAAACATATATATATTAGAATATTTTGGTATATAAAACATGAGTAGCACGATTTTGCAAAATTAACAAAAATATTTTGCATACCATTAAACAAAAAACAAATCTTCTTTTGTAAACTGCATAACACATGCAATCATTTGACGCATTTTTCAATATATATTTAAAAATAACAAGAAGTAGTACAATGTTGCACGTTAATTTTTCAAAATATATATGTTTTACTAATACGAATTGATTAAAAAGTTATTAAAATCGTGTACCAAATAAAAAAGTCAACAAAAACTACTTTTGAAGCATAATCATAAATTCCTTTAACTCTGTTAGAGGTATTTGTTACTGTTATATTTTGAGTTTATAGGTAATATTAATATTTAATTAATTATAAAATTTGATGATATAGTACAATGTTGTAGATTATTTTTTGAATAACATATATATATCAGAATATTCTGGTATATAAAATATGAGTAGCACGATTTTGCAAAATTAACAAAAATATTTTGCATACCATAAAACAAAAAACAAATCTTCTTTTGCAAACTGCATAACACATGCAATCATTTGATGTATTTTTCAATATATATTTAAAAATAACAAGAGGTAGTACAATGTTGCTCGGTACCATTTCAAATTATTTATATTCTTCTAATATGAATTGATGAAAACGTTATTTAAAGTGTGTACCAACTAAAAAAGTTAACAAAAACTACTTTTGAAGCATAATCATAAATTCCTTTAACTCTGTTAGAGGTATTTGTTAATGTTATATTTTGAGTTTATAGGTAATATTAATATTTATTTAATTATAAAATTTGATGAAATAGTACAATGTTGTAGAGTATTTTTTGAAAAACATATATATATTAGAATATTTTGGTATATAAAACATGAGTAGCACGATTTTGCAAAATTAACAAAAATATTTTGCATACCATAAAACAAAAAACAAATCTTCTTTTGCAAACTGCATAACACATGCAATCATTTGATGTGTTGTTCAATATATATTTAAAAATACTAAGAAGTAGTACAATGTTGCACGGTAACTTTTCAAATTATATATATTTTTCTAATACGCATTGATGGACAAGTTATTAAAATCGAGTATCAAATAAAAAAGTTAACAAGAACTACTTTTGAAACATAATCATAAATTTCTTTAACTCTGTTAGAGGTATTTGTTACTGTTATATTTCGAGTTTATAGGTAATATTAATATTTAATTAATTATAAAATTTGATGAAATAGTACAAAGTTGTAGAGTATTTTATGTAAAACATATATGTAATAGAATATTCTGTTATATAAAACATGAGTAGCACGATTTTGCAAAATTAACAAAAATATTTTGCATACCATAAAACAAAAAACAAATCTTCTTTTGCAAACTGCATAACATATGCAACCATTTGATGAATTTTTCAATATATATTTAAAAATACTAAGAAGTAGTACAATGTTGCACGGTAATTTTTTAAAATATATAAATTTTACTAATACGAATTGATGAAAAAGTTATTAAAATCGTGTACCATATAAAAAAGTTAACAAAAACTACTTTTGAAGCATAATCATAAATTCCTTTAACTCTGTTAGAGTTATTTGTTAATGTTATATTTTTAGTTTATAGGTAATATTAATATTTATTTAATTATAAAAGTTGATGAAATCGTACAATGTTGTACAGTATTTTTTGAATAACATATATATATTAGAATATTTTGGTATGTAAAACTTGAGTAGCACGATTTTGCAAAATTAACAAAAATATTTTGCATACCATAAAACAAAAAACAAATCTTCTTTTGCAAACTGCATAACACAAAAATAACAAAAATATTTTGCATACCATAAAACAAAAAACAAATCTTCTCTTGCAAACTGCATAACACATGCAATCATTTGATATATTTTTTAATATATATTTAAAAATACTAAGAAGTAGTACAATGTTGCACGGTAACTTTTCAAGTTATTTATATTTTTCTAATACGAATTGATGGACAAGTTATTAAAATCGAGTACCAAATAAAAAAGTTAACAAAAACTACTTTTGAAGCACAAATCATAAATTCTTTAACTCTGTTAGAGGTTATTTGTTAATGTTATATTTTGAGTTTATAGGTAATATTAATATTTAATTAATTATAAAATTTGATGAAATAGTACAACGTTGTAGAGTATTTTATGTAAAACATATATATATTAGAATATTTTGTTATATAAAACATGAGTAGTACGATTTTGCAAAATGAACAAAAATATTTTGCATACCATAAAACAAAAAACAAATCTTCTTTTGCAAACTGCATAACACAAAAATAACAAAAATATTTTGCATACCATTAAACAAAAAACAAATTTTCGTTTGCAAACTGCATAACACATGCAATCATTTAATGTATTTTTTATTATATATTTAAAAATAACAAGAAGTACAATGTTGCACGGTAACTTTTCAAATTATATATATTTTTCTAATACGCATTGATGGACAAATTATTAAAATCGAGTATCAAATTAAAAAGGTAACAAGAACTACTTTTGAAACATAATCATAAATTTCTTTAACTCTGTTAGAGGTATTTGTTAATGTTATATTTTGAGTTTATAGGTAATATTAATATTTAATTAATTATAAAATTTGATGATATAGTACAATGTTGTATAGTATTTTTTGAAAAACATATATATATTAAAATATTTCGGTATATAAAACATGAGTAGCACGATTTTGCAAAATTAACAAAAATATTTTGCATACCATAAAACAAAAAACAAATCTTCTTTTGTAAACTGCATAACACATGCAATCATTTGATGTATTTTTCAATATATATTTAAAAATAACAAGAGGTAGTACAATGTTGCTCGGTACCTTTTCAAATTATTTATATTCTTCTAATATGAATTGATGAAAACGTTATTTAAAGTGTCTACCAACTAAACAAGTTAACAAAAACTACTTTTGAAGCATAATCATAAATTCGTTTAACTCTGTTAGAGGTATTTGTTACTGTTATATTTTGAGTTTATAGGTAATATTAATATTTATTTAATTATAAAATTTGATGAAATAGTACAATGTTGTAGAGTATTTTATGTAAAACATATATATATTAGAATATTTTGTTATATAAAACATGAGTAGTACGATTTTGCAAAATGAACAAAGATATTTTGCATACCATAAAACAAAAAACAAATTTTCTTTTGCAAACTGCATAACACATGCAATCATTTAGAGGTATTTGTTAATGTTATATTTTGAGTTTATAGGTAATATTAATATTTAATTAATTATATAATTTGATGAAATAGTACAATGTTGTATAATATTTTTTGAAAAACATATATATATTAGAATATTTTGGTATATAAATCATGAATAGCACGATTTTGCAAAATTAACAAAAATATTTTGCATACCATTAAACAAAAAACAAATCTTCTTTTGCAAACTGCATAACACATGCAATCATTTGATGTGTTTTTCAATATATATTTAAAAATAACAAGAAGTAGTACAATGTTGCACGGTATCTTTTCAAATTATTTATATTCTTCTAATATGAATTGATGAAAAAGTTATTAAAATCGAGTATCAAATTAAAAAGGTAACAAGAACTACTTTTGAAACATAGTCATAAATTTCTTTAACTCTGTTAGAGGTATTTGTTAATGTTATATTTTGAGTTTATAGGTAATATTAATATTTAATTAATTATAAAATTTGATGAAATAGTACAATGTTGTAAAGTATTTTTTGAAAAACATATATATATTAAAATATTTTGGTATATAAAACATGAGTAGTACGATTTTGCAAAATTAACAAAAATATTTTGCATACCATAAAACAAAAAACAAATCTTCTTTTGCAAACTGCATAACACATGCAATCATTTGATGTATTTTTCAATATATATTTAAAAATAACAAGAGGTACTACAATGTTGCACGTTAATTTTTGACAATATATATATTTTACTAATACGAATTGATGAAAAAGTTATTAAAATCGTGTACCATATAAAAAAGTTAACAAAAACTACTTTTGGAGCATAATCATATATTCCTTTAACTCTGTTAGAGGTATTTGTTAATGTTATATTTTGAGTTTATAGGTAATATTAATATTTAATTAATTATAAAATTTGATGATATAGTACAATGTTGTATAGTATTTTTTGAAAAACATATATATATTAAAATATTTTGGTATATAAAACATGAGTAGCACGATTTTGCAAAATTAACAAAAATATTTTGCATACCATAAAACAAAAAACAAATCTTCTTTTGCAAACTGCATAACACATGCAATCATTTGATGTATTTTTCAATATATATTTAAAAATAACAAGAGGTAGTACAATGTTGCTCGGTACCTTTTCAAATTATTTATATTCTTCTAACATGAATTGATGAAAACGTTATTTAAAGTGTGTACCAACTAAAAAAGTTAACAAAAACTACTTTTAAAGCATAATCATAAATTCATTTAACTCTGTTAGAGGTATTTGTTACTGTTATATTTTGAGTTTATAGGTAATATTAATATTTATTTAATTATAAAATTTGATGAAATAGTACAATGTTGTAGAGTATTTTATGTAAAACATATATATGTAGGATCTCATTAGTAAACAACGAAACCCTTTTTCAATACTAAAAAAAGCAGCCCTC